TCATCCACAAGATCGACTTCGACCCTTACCTTGCTTTTGCAGACCATTAATCATCGCTCTACTGTCAATCTTCTTTACGAGATACCGACTTCAACATGACGGTATGTGGTTTACCTTTGTTGAATACGAAACCTTCGAGGACATGCCTTCCCACCTGCTGCGCGACAGCGAGGCGAACCTTGTAGATAATGCCACTACCATCTCACCGCCCCGCCGCCTTACAGATACATATAAAAACAATGCGACAACTTTAAAAATCCTGGCATGTTGTTGCATCCAGTTGCCTCAACGGTAAAGCGTTGTGCTGCAGCACAAGACCCTCATGTTGGTAGAAAGACGCCCGGGCGCCTTTTAAATTCTCTAATGTTAAAGCTTTCACCTTGCGATTGAATTTTTATATTTTTTGATATTCATCTTTCTATGAATATAGATTTTTTGAGACGTTGTTGTTGACGGCTCTGGAGGGTCTCGGCTGGTTCCGGGAGAGAGTGGATATGTAGTGAATCGTTTCATGGGATAGGTGTAGATAATTGGTAGATGATGTGCGGCCGCAACTTTCTCTTATAAGTGAACTTGCGAGTTCGTTACTATAGGAGATGGCGATAGACAACGCGTTGATACTGGGCAATCATTGATGAATAGGTATGCACCCATTTCATTGTAATTATCTATAACGAACACAGCGATCGATGGATGAATACATTATAAGTAGAACAGTGATCGATAGGTAAGCTATGGATACAACGAGTACTAGAAGCTCAAAAGGGGTATTTTCGCTGCCAGAGGTGGGAAACCATATTGATGTTCACAAAGACAAGGAAAGAAAAATAGGTATGAAGATGAGTGTCTACATAAATGCGACTACTAGCGTACAGATTTTTCATTCCTTCTCTACACTTTATACACATATTTGAAAGATCCTTCATAAATTACATATTATTCTCATAGCCTCAAATATACATATATCATCATGTCACGCACGTCATGTGTAAGAATGCCTTCGAATCAGAAAACTAATGAATTATGCGTACTTTGTTGAAACACCTACAACCCATTAATTCCATGGTTCATTTTCGTTCTACTACATTCATTCCCATCCCAACCATCAATTTCCATCTCCTCTCGTTGATTCATTGATTCATTCATTCATTCATTCGGGCATTCATTCGGGCATTTATCCATGTATACACAATAGCGATATCATATATCCTACTCTTCTCCCAGAACCAGACTCGCCTGCACCCTCTCCCAACCTGCGTTCGGATACTAGGTACCTTTATTTCGATATGCGTATAGATCGTCCCGTTCGTAGAATATGATATGGTCATGAATACCTAGGTATGATGAGATGATTATGTACTAGGTACGTGGTAGAGGGGAATATTAAATCGTAAAATGGAAAACAAAAGTTCATGCGATGGATGCTAATATATATCATCTATAATAGAGCAGTGAACTCACACTTTTGCGGGTGCATTGCTTTACTCCCCCCCTTCCTCTTCCCATCTTTCCTTTTGGTTATTCCAAAAACATCACTTTAACATTCTTCTCATCTTACCCAAGATTTATTCATCCATCCATCTCTCTCACACACATACATTTCCACATCCCACTACATATACATATACCGCATCCGCTATACCCATCCATCAACCTTAATAGCTCCAGTCATGTTTATATTCATCTGCCCATACTCATCTTTCTTACTGCATCTTCTCCATCGCCATTATCATCAATCTTCTTCTATTATCCATATCTCTCTATCTCTATTCCTCCAAGATGTTCTTAATTATATCCGCATCTATACCTACTCACCTCTTCTATATCATTCACACTTCTGTATGCATCTACCTACCTACCTCCCTCCCTTCCTTTCTTTCCCCTCCTCTTCCCTCTTCCCTCTTCCCTCTTCCCTCTTCCCTCTTCCCTCTTCCCTCATCCTCTCACAAAACCAAAAAATCTTTTTCTCTCTCAAAAGCATTTAAAAAGATCCAATACAAGAGATAACCTATACAATAGTATATCTTCCCACTTTTTATTAGAAAAAATTCTGATCACTCCTCGATAAATTTTGGCTTGGTCGATTGGCGAAACTCGGTAAACGTCTGAGGTCTTTTTCCTTATATTCATGATGTGTTGAAATTTCGAATGTGGATGTTATTTACTTCTCGTTTCTCTTTCTGTCTCTCTCTGGCTACCTAATTGGTATACGCTGTGCATGATAGAGTGCTTTTAGTGTGTGGTCAGATGAATGATCCCATCAGTGGATGCATGGATTGACGGAACACTCACCAAATTTCGAAATTTCTAATAAATTCGTTCTTCAGTTGCTTGATATCAAAACTTATGATTTGATTGTTTCAAATCTGATGAATCATTGTAACAAACTTCCAAGGTATCTAATTCGATATATCGAGAAATATTCACAAGTTCATTTTGTAGCGTTCACATAAAGTAAGCACTTAGCAACTGCTATATTCTCACTCTCAACTACCTACTCGCTGTCGGTCCGCCTGCCTAATAGCTAGTTAACCAGTCCAGTGAGCATGCTAGAATTTCACCATTTCATCACCTCCACATTCACCTTCACCTTCACACCCTAATCAACGATGCCTTACTCTACGCATCTCGAAAACCTCGAAAAAATCACGAGAGAAAGAAACTTGAGTAGAGAGGCCCATGTATTACCCGCCCAATCAAAACATTTGAACTTCAATCAAACTCCTAAGCCCTGCATCAATATCCATTGAAAATAAGTATCCATAACCAGACCATATGAACACCCGTGAAAATATGCGTGAAATGCGTATGCCTTTATAAAATATCCATCCATCCATTATCTAGGACCGTCCGAACTGTCCGCGAACGATTCAGGTGTGCTTTAGATTTCCTCCATTGTACCTGCTGCTTCTTCATTATCATCGTCGTCGTCAAAACTAGCTACCGAGGACATGGTATCGTCATCTGATTCGTCGGCGCCTGCATCGTCTGCTGCGTCTTTGCTTGCGTATTTCGTTACATATTCTACATCTCATCAGTTCTCATCCCATTCACCTGCAAAATCCTTCCTTGTAACTCCCATAAATACACACCTTTAACCTTTACATCATAGGCTTTCGAATCCCTCATGAGTAGTGCGGCGGCCTCTCCATTTAGCGGATCCGTCGGATTTGGATATCGAAGTAATTGCGGGAGGAACACTTCAAAGATATTGATCATGTCGAACATTGGCGACCAAGTTTGATTTATGACGTCGAGACAGACGGATCCGGATCTATGAACGTAGTCTCAGTAAGTAATCTGTTCCACCGTGTTGGTGGTGGGGAAAGGGCCTACAACTCATCGATATTAGGGTGGAAGATGCGATTTACGAAACCGATGCTGGGGGATTTGTAGGGATATTGGTCTGGGAGTTCGACGTGGATTTTCCAGAGTCCGCCTTCGAATGGTGCTGTGTGGGTAGCGGTTAGTTTATGCGTTTGAGAGGAGGGAGTGTCGGAGGAGAGTGGAGAGGAAGTGAACTCACTCTCTGCTGGTCCCTTGAAGCGGACGTAGAACTCTTGCCTATTATTGTCATTGCGTGAGCGTTTAATTCCAAATCTCTCCTTAACATATTACATACACTAGATAAAAGGTTAGAATTTCTGCAGACAGTCTGGGTATGTTTCCAACTCACTATTGTCATTTACAAGAGTCACCTCATAATCCGACATCAACCTATACTCCTGGTAAGCACTGAAGCATAAATTAATCGGACCAGCTGTGAAAAGGTGTCGCATACATCCTATAATCACACTGTTAGCTAGAGATTCCCAAAAAATAAGTTCTCAGATCATAAATACTGACTTCATGACCTATATATCCAAAACCAGTCGTTAGTCTTTCAACTCATCCAAATAATGAATATGGAATACTACTTACATCAGTCTCAATCCTCCGTCTCGGACTAGACATTTTGACGTTTGAGTTTATGAGATTTAATTCTGGATCAAGCAAGTATTCGATGTAAGGATTCAGCAATTTGTAGACCTAGAAAAATGGTAAAATGGTGAAATAATGAGTTTATATGAGGAGAGAATTGATCATGGAGTTTGTTGTAGTAGCTGCTAGACAGTGGACCGGATAGTCCTTATCTGAGCGATAAAGCGGTAACAATCGGTAGTTGCCGATTCATGCGCCCGCTTTGGTCTCGTGAGACGGTTTTGTATGGTAGCTACTAGTTACCTAGGTATGTTATCTGTGTAATGATAACAACAATAACCTGATAATACTTGCTCACTAGGTTCTGGGTTTGTCTTTGTCCGGATATGGATCGTGTATCAAGAAAGATGAAGGCGAGGAGGGGTAAACACATCATCATATACTGTTCAATTCATCGAAATGACAACCCGACCCACCTCGACCTGTATGATTCACACGAACGCCTCAATCTGTGATTGAACGATGGAAGATAATTCTCAGGTACACCACAGCACATTGCATGATCTGAATGCTGCTTTAGATATCTTAGAGTAGGACCACATTGAACGGCATTACACCGGAAAAGAGGGGAAAGAAACGCTTTTTATACCAAGGTTGTGATTCCACAGAAGTAGCTCGATTCATCCCCATGGTTGTACTATCTTCGTGCCATACCTACCGAGCCTACTACGAATCTATCTATATATGAAGAACAACTCAGGTCCCAAAAGATGCAATAGTAGGTAGGTATATCATCACCCTTTTCTTCCGCTCACACTACCGCCTCGGTTCCCCTTACATAATCTAGCCCCATCCCTCGGCCCAAAGAACCACTCCAAGCGACAAAATGAACCGCAAATAATGAAATAATCTCACTTTACGCTCCAGTATGGAAACCACAGCGCAATAATCATCACGACCTCAACAAAAAGTTTGTTATGGGCCTCCGCAATTCTAACAATGGCTCTCCATAATCCATCTTCAAAGTTTTCTAATCATCAATTTCAATCCGTGAGAATTTATTTCCATCAATTCCAACCATGTCTTCATCATTTCCCATCATGAAGATGAGCACGCGCACACTATTGAAGCAATATCCACGATCAGCAACTTTTGCTGTTAGACCATTTCTTGCACAATGCCAAAATAGAAAAAGTTCGCATAGTCCTATGGGCTCACCGAGTGCGAGGAAGAAGGTCACCATGACTACATTGAGGTCCATGTATAAGAAGGGCGAACCTATCGCTGTAATGACGGCTCATGATTTCCCAAGTGGCCATGTCGCGGATGTCGCGGGTATGGATATAGTATTAGTGGGAGACAGTTTGGCCATGGTAGCCTTGGGAATGGAGGATACTAGTGAGGTTATTATGGAAGAGATGTTGATGCATTGTCGTTCTGTATCGCGTGCTGCAAAAGCTGCTTTCACTGTATGTACATTCTCGTATTCCCTCAATTCATGCACCACCCCCTTTACTAACGAACCGAATCATCAGGTTGGAGATCTTCCTATGGGTTCGTATGAGATATCCCCCGAACAAGCTCTCGAATCCGCTTTTCGATTTGTGAAGGAAGGTCGAATGCAAGGCATTAAATTAGAAGGAGGTGCAGAAATGGCTCCCACTATCAAGAAACTTACGACCGCGGGCATTCCAGTACTAGGTCATATAGGTCTCACACCCCAACGCCAAAATTCCCTTGGTGGCTTCCGCGTACAAGGTAAAACTTGTGCCGGTGCCCTGAAAGTTCTCGAAGATGCACTCGCCGTCCAAGAAGCCGGTGCTTTCGCAACGGTCGTTGAAGCTGTTCCACAAGAAGTTGCAAATCTCATAACTGAGAAGCTGTCTATCCCTACAATCGGCATTGGTGCAGGAAATGGTTGCTCGGGACAAGTTTTGGTGCAAGTTGACATGACTGGCAATTTCCCACCCGGTCGATTCCTCCCAAAATTTGTAAAGAAATATGGTGATGTCTGGAGCGAAAGCTTAAAAGCCATTACGCAATACCGCGAAGAAACAAAGTCTCGAGCCTACCCAGCCCTAGAGCATACATATCCGATTCCAGAGAAGGAGCTCGAGGAATTTCGAAGTGCAATTAGCAAAATAGATTGAGGTGTTGTGGATAATTATCGATGTTATTGGATCGCAGGCGTATTTGTCCAGCTTTTAGATTCCCGATATTTGCTTAGCTTTTCGATGCCCGATAGAAATATAATTTTTTTGTATACCAACCTAAATCTAGTTTAGAAAGCAATGGAATACCCTATGTTAACTGTTTCGTTTGAAAGTTTAATGACCGACTGACGAGTATCGCATGGTTCGTTCAATCATCCAAATGCCGGCGTCATCGAATAGGTAACAATAAGCTGGTCCTTCGAATCTTTAAAACACTATTCCAAAAATTAGCATTGATCCATCCCAAACCCTCATCCCACACTCCCCATAACCAATCTCATAAACCACTCACCCTATGCAAATTCCCCACCACCTCATCCAAGGCCGGCGCAAAACAACTATTAACATACAAAAAGACACTTTCCCTCTCTCCGCCTCCCCCCGCATTCCGATCCAACTTCAACACCCTCCTCAAATACGCCACCACCGTCTCAAACCTCTGCGTCGAACTAATCTTCGACACCGGTCTCTGCAACACGGGCGCCGACCCAATCGGCTGAAACCGCACTGCGATTTTCGCCGTGGGAAATACAAAGGCAGAGTCGAGCGCGGTGCTGGAGTCGCGCGGGAGATTGGTGAGCAGGAGGGAGGAGGTCATGGTTAGGGGGAGAGTGGGGGAGGAGGGAGGCAGATCCGGGATGGCTGAGGAGTGGGTGCGTGGGCGTGTAGGGAGGGAGGCGGTGGGAGTTGTGGGGGTGGGTGTGCGGGAGGGGAGGGGAGAGGTATCGGGATTGGGATTGGGAGAGCTCATGGTTTCGTGGGGTGGCTCGGGTTTGTGTATGTGAGAGTTGGTTGTGTTTTGTTTGGTGGCTGGAAATCCGATTTTGAATGGCTACAGAAAATTTTGATTCGATTTCGATGTAACAAATTACGACGTAATCGTGTGTAATGTGAGGTTGAGTCTAGTGGACAAGATTGTACGATGATGGAAGTGAATCAGACAAGGCTGAGGCCGATGAATATGATGCGGACTTTCGACGCGGAGTTGCGGCCGACTGAGTGGAGAGTGGGGCAAGGATTTAATGTGAACCCTTATTTTAAGTTTCGGCAGATTACTTTTAAGCTCACCGGGAACCAAGAGTTCACTGGGGATTCTCGATCTACCAGGAACAATAATCTTTCCCTCGTGCTACTTGTAGTTTTTATGAATTAAACTGGGCTCATTGGAGAGAAAAGCATGGCAAGGCTCCATGGGTAAAGTACCCAGCATTCATTCGGACGTTATCAATCACGATTGATTTGTGGGTATATACATTTATACTTTTTTGCTCGGAGTGGTATACATCATTATCATACAATTCATTTATCCCCCTTTATTTAATCGCGTAAAGCTTCGATATCTACAACCTCCTTGACGGCCTCGGTAGTTAGTACTAGAGGCGAATCCTCCTGTATACAAACACTATCCTCAATTCTGATGCCCATACCCCTAAAATGAGCTGGCCAGCGCTCATCGTTTGGCACATAAATTCCCGGCTCGATCGTAATACAATGTCCTTCCTTGAGAAGATTACTTCGAGAGTATCCTGGAGTGTCGTGAACATCAAGTCCAATATAATGACCGACGTGATGTGGAAACAAGGTATCGATAGCATTTCCAGACATATCGAATCCTAATTGTTTCAATTGATCTGTGAGACCATTTCTGGTAACTGCATGGATTTTATCCAAAGTCATGTTTGAACTCTCCCTGCATAGTGCAACGCTACTTCGTTGTACCTTTAAAAGTGCTTCGTATAGATCTTTTTGGGCATCTGTAAATTTGCCATTGATGGGCCATGTCCGAGTGATATCCGTGATATATCCACCATATTGTCCACCAGCGTCTACCAGGACAAGCTCGCCATCTCGTAGTACATCGTTGTTGGAAACGTAATGTATGCTCTGGGCATTTCTTCCACCTCCAATGACTGGCACATAAGCATTCTTCTCACAGCCTCCGATTTTAAAATCAAAGTCAAGAAATGCGCCAAGATGTTTTTCTTCAGTCCATCGTTTCCGCATAGCATTTGTAAAAGATCTGCCGGAGATTTTACCTGCTTTCCGCATATTCTCGATTTCGGCGTCACTTTTGATGGCCCTTAATTCGTTTATCAACGGCCCAATTGGTTTCGATTTTTTTGCTTTGGCATCGCGAAATAGTTGCATAAGATCCTTTTGTTTCATTACACCTTGTGTGGAGTCCAGAGTACCCCCAAGGAAAGATTCTTTGACATCCATATATATTTCACTAGCTCCTTCAATAAGTGGCCTTAGATGTGAAGCTGCCTGGTTGACATCTCCAGACTATTTCAATATTAGCATTGTTTCTGTTTGCGAAGTCTTGTAGTAATCGGCGTCTTACTTCATCTGCATTGAAAACATCCAAGGCTGCTTGTTCCCCAGATCTAGCACCATCCCAAAGTTCTGCCTGCGGGTCTTTAGGTCTAACAAATAGGTGAAATATAAATTCTGTAGATTCCAATCTCTGTATTACTGCGATTGCCTCTGGTTCATTAAATCCAGTGAGATAGAAGAAATTTGACTGCTGGTGAAATTCATGAAATACGGCCCCAGACCTATATTTGATATCTGCCCCTCTTAAGATAGCGATTGAATTTGGAGGAAGTTTTGCAGCGAAATCTGCTCGTCGATCCGCATATTCTTGCGCCGAGATACCTGGAGTAACTGATCACTTTATTTAGTTTCGTTGTAATTATCACATTGAATCCATCTCCATACCTTCTCCAGCATTAAGTAAATGCGGATGGGTTTCATGAACCGGCTGACCAAATTGCAGTTCTGAAGCTGATATGGAAGCATACGTCCTTCTTGACCGATATGTTGTGTGCCATTTTGTTGCTGCAGCCGATAATTGAGCTTGACATCGAGGTCTTGAAGATATTATTGATGAAGATGATATTCCTCTACTCCTACTGATCCCTTCCAATTGCTGGAACAGTGTTCGTGTTCTTCTACTACACTTCATGATAGAGATTAGCAATTAGCAGTTGACGGGATTGAGGTTCTCGAGTCTTTCCCTGTCCTGTGTGAGTATACAAGAGGAAGATGATGTATATTATTTTCTGCGACGCAACCTTAATATTTCGTTATGTCATGGTCTACTATCGAGCACTAATGAACGTTTAAGGTTCCTCTTACCAAGGTAGGTAGTTCGTACAGGCCCGACCCAGTAGTCATAGACTTATCGTACCCGTCCCATATGAAGAATATTATCAAGCATAAACTGGCACGGTTTGATTGGTGTAAAGGGTTCGAGATTACCTCTCACTTACTCGAGTATTGACTTAGACGGGTAGTATTTGATTAGTATTTAACTAGTGTATAATTAGCGTCTAATTAGCATCTAATCAGTATTTACCAGGTATTATCCATAATCCATCATTACAAACTGGGGAAGGTAATTTAAATTGGTTGCTGTGTTGCTGAGTGAATATAATCAATGAATCCACTTCGCGCTCTTTTAAGCCTTTTGTTGTCTACCATAACATTCAAACCTAGTAGTCCTTCTGTAGTCATCATCACATCAAAAAAAAATTAAGGAACCTTACCCTACCCAGAACCATAACCATAACCATAACCATAACATCTACCATACAAAACATTGACACTTCACTTCACACCACCATCCCCAAAAAATAAAACATCCACTCCAGCATTATCCCAACCCACATTCATTGCATTGTGTGGTATTCACGACTCTTTTGCGTTAATTCATTTCAATGGTCTTCATTTCCCCAGACTCTTGAATCATATTTACTAAATGTCTACATAAAAATAAGAGCTTCAAGGAAGTGGTGATAAAGCGTGTCAAAAGTCGCGTGCTAGAACCACCCCACTCCACTCCTTCACAGGAATTTCTCTGTCCTACACAGAGAGTATTGGTATATTTTCTTATGGCAACAGTATCACTATCTCCATTACCTGTCACATTAACAACCAATATGTCGACCAGGAGGCAGCCTCTCTCCACCATCTCCAATGTCGCTAATTCCCCATATCGAGCGGTAGCTTCCACCACAACTAAACAAAAACGATCATACGCCAACATACAACGCGAAGATGCATACGGGCAACCACCCCCGGCGAAAAAGCAGATGCTAGATGCACATCATCAAACTTTAAGAACACCTCCACGCCAGAGTATTAGCCAAGTATCGGGTGAAGGAAGGATTTTTACTCGAAGATCAACTCAGCCATCCAATTTTGAACGAAAGTGTGTGGCAGCTAGAGGAGATAGAGGAGCTCAACAACAGCAGATTACAAAGGCGGACAAGGTACCAGAGGAGAATTTGGAATCGATACGCCAATGGCAAAAGCATTATAGGAAGAGTTTTCCCAAATTCGTCTTCTACTTTGAGAGTATACCAGAAGATGCCCGACTTAAATATACTAAACAAGTCCTCGCCCTAGGTGCAGTAAGTAATGTCTCTGTGTAAGGAATTGGGTATCGCAGATTGTATTGACTTCTTCTCAGCGCGACGAAAAATTCTTCTCGAATGAGGTCACTCATGTCGTCACCACTCGATCAATTCCACCGGAGACCCCATTTACTTCTTCAACTACCGCCGAGTTACATTCGCAACACGGCACTATTAACCCATCTTTGCTAGACAGATCATCCGAGACTGCAGATTCAAGGGAATCTCGATCAAAGTTTACATTTGAAGCTCCAGGCGGTAGAAGACTTAATACACAAGGACATGATGGAGACACAAGACGACAACAAGTCCGTAGCTCGGATGTACTATACAAGGCGCGAGAATTGGGGATGAAGATATGGGCATTGGAGAAGTTGCAACGAATGATGACAACTATGTTTGACACGGACACTGGTTACCAAACAGCACATAATCACAACACAAGGAGTCATTCCGTTCAGGGTGGGACGATTAGCAGAGGCCGAGAAGCTGACCTATCCCAATTATTGAGGAATGAACGAATTTATGGACCATCCGATCGAGACCTCAGCGTCGCTACAAAAGAAATGACTATATTCAGAGGGCCTTATATCTACATTCACGATATCGATGAAAAGCAAAAGCCAATTATGGTTCGAGAATATAACAAAGTTGCCCGCAAAGAAGAGGGGGATTGGCCTCAATTCCGTAGTGTTGCAAATGGCAAGTGTCCATTTGTGGAGGAAGTAGAGTACAGTCGCCGTGAGGTGGAGAAAGAAAAGGAATTGATCCGTATCCAAAGGCAAAAGGAAAAGGAGAGAGCTGCAGTTCCAAGGACAAGAGCTGCTGCTGCGGTAGAAGCAGCTCAAATGCAACCACCAAAGGCAATCAGCAAACGAGCACTATCTCAACTTGATGATGGAGGAAATAGAAGCGTTACCGTCTCGACAAATCAAGCTAACCCATTTGACACTGATAGAAGTAATCGTACAGAACTTGAGTCTTCTTCTCGAGGTCAAAACGCGTTCGTCAGTCGTGCTGGCGTTGGTAGATTGTTTGGAGGTGAGCCTGTTGCGTCGGGAGTTCAACCATCGAACATTACTTCTGCTATTCGCTCTCAAATGATTTCTTCAACTGCAGCTCAACCTGGACTCAAAGCTGGAACAAGCAAAGAGATACATGGTTTGCAGAGAAAGGTTCTTGAGAAGACGAATGGTGGAACTGGATCCCATCGTTTGACTGACATCACTGCCGCTGTAAGAGAAGATACAGCTACTCGCCCTGCGAAGCGTGAGGCACAAAAGAAACTTGGTGTAATCGAAGAAGATGATGTTCCTACAGAAAAAGAAGAAGCGGCAAGAAAGATGGAAGCTTCTCGCAAAGCAAAAGCTGTTCAGCAAAGAAAGCTTGAGAAGCGTGATCCAAAGCCCGGATACTGTGAAAATTGCGCCGATAAATTTGAAGACTTTGATGAGGTAAATTCCTTTTCATCTGATGATTTATATTATACTAATTACTCTATAGCATGTCGTCTCACGCAAACATCGTAAATTCGCGGAGAAGCTCGAGAATTGGAAAGAACTCGACGCCTTGTTAAATCAACTGGTTCGACCTCTTTTATAATTCAAGTATCATTCGCTTCGCAAATGTACTTTCAGCCAGTCATATGAATTCATATTCGAAATTCTACAATAGCTTGCCCAATACAAACTAATAATATAACGGCGTTCATTCATCGGGGCATGCATATGAAAAACCAAAAAGGGGTTGTCACAACAGAAACATTACAATCACAGCTTATGTTCGAAACTTTGTCCTTTGCTCCTTACATACCACAATACCCAACCATTCACGGTTACATTTTCCCCAAGAGGACTAGATGAAGGGATGGGTAATGTTGTTTGCTTTTGGGGCCATGTTACTTGTCATTGTTTGGTTTGAGTTTAGATTCAGCATTTACATAGGGGTTGGCGTTTTTCTCTTTTTTACATTTGTTTTGATTTTTTTTTCTTTTTCTTTGGGGGATGGGGCGTTATTGGTTTTAAGGCGTGCTGTCGCTGTCTCTTTCGCTGAAGTTGAGGTCTGTTGATGGGCATAGCATGGCTGGCGAGCATCTTGTTGATGCACTTCATAGCGGAATGTCATTTGTTTGTCCAATGGTGTATATGAGAAGGAGTAAGAGGTTTGAGACGAGGAAGTAAGAGAGTGAGAATGTTAGAAAAGGGGTTGATGGCTATAAGTACATAGCATGAGATGGAATCTGATGATGTGTTCAGGAATCACTTTACTTGGGTGAAGGGAGGCAAGGGGAAGGAGTGATCTTTCAATGTACATATATGTATGTGTGTGTCGGTCAATGAATGACCACATCGATGAATAAAGAATGAAAGAAGATTATGAGAACCAAAATAAAATCGAATACGAAAATGAACATGAGATTACAATCACCATATGATAATCTTTGTAAAGGGGTGTGTGCTCGCTTAATCTTAATCTTGATCGTAATCTTCATCTTGAGATGGAGTGGAAAGGAAGCGAATGTATATATATGTTAGTATGTTAGCAGGTAAGATTTAAAGCGAAGTTATTGAATGTTGGGAGGAACTACTAGGTAGGTAGGTATTACTAGTAGGTAGGTATTAGTATTATAATAGATATTTATTATTATCTGTATATTCTGTGAAATCTATTTGGATTCGAAGTCCGAATTGAAGTCCGAATTGAAGTCTGGAGAGGGTGATCAATCTACCTAGGTAGGTAGTTAAATATGTTTATTGTGATTGGTAATAGAATAAAGTAGAATAAAGTAGAATAGAGTGGGAGTTTGAGCTGGAGATTGAATTGGAGATTGGATTAAATTGAGGTATTAATGTATGCTGATATTGATACTAGAAACATATATAACATTCTTTCTCCTTATGATTCTATCTCAACTTTACCCCCTCCCTCAACGTCTCCTCTCCCACCAGAGTTATACACATCACATCACTTCAATTCACTCCATTCACCTTATCCAAGCAAATCAAAAGAGAAGCAATTATCTTTTTATCCGACTCCATATAAACATCTATATATGGGACCATGTAGATTTCGTTAATCATTGTATATCAACGCAGCAAGCACTTTAATCCATGCATGCATGTATATCTTTTTGCTTCATCCATCCAATCCACCCATCCCATTCAACCCCGAACTACCCCACCCCATCCCATTCCCCTTGTATTTCTGTCCTCTACCCTCTCAAATAAACTCATAGATCCACAATCTCATTGCATGATTCTAATGTAAATATATTTAAGCAGCAGTGGCAACTTCTTCTTCAGTAATCAACTTTGTGATTTTACCAATGGCGATAGTTTGACCCTGTTTGATAGATATGTTAGTTTACAATTTCCATTTCTCCTTTTCATCTCGCCAAAGCTAACGCCCTGAATAAAGATTCAAAACATACCTGATCTCTGAGAGTGAATCTACCCAATTGAGGATAATCTTCAAACTTCTCCACACAAACACTTCCGGCTCCACCAATAACCTCCATTCTAGCAATAATAGAATCGCCCTTCTTTGCATGGGTTGGAGGAACTTTACTCTTTCTATTAGTACCCTTTTGAAGTTTATGCAATAACGCTGCGAAAGTGACCTCTTCAATAGCCGAATGGACGTGCATAACGCAATTGAAGCCAGCAGATAGAATACTCTTTAAATCCAAAACTCTAATTTGAGCTTCGAAAGTAGTAACGCAATGAACGAGACGTTTTGGCGAGCAAAGAACGAAACCGGGTAGAATGTCTTCTTCTTCGATACCACGTAGACGAAGACGAACTTGGTCACCACATTGACCTGCGGGAATTTCCTCTTCAGTCTCTCCGTATGTCACCATAACCTCGACCTTTTCTTTATTAGGCATCATGACCAAATTCATTCCTTTCTTTACGACTCCAGATTCGATCTTACCCTCGACGAGAGTACCCATATCTCTGTATTTTCCGTTGATTGGCATCATGAATGGTGCGTTAACTTTACGTTCGAGTTGAGTCATATTGTCGAGGAATTCGAGAAGAGATGGCCCATCGTACCATGGGGCAACACCCTTAGGAATTCTGTCCTTGATACCCATGGTTACCTGTGCTGCAATTGGCATGAAGAATACGTCGGTTTTAAGGTTGTAACCAGTTCCTTTCAAGAATTGAGAAAGTTTGGTTGTGCACTCCTTATATCTATCGTGAGACCATTCGACAGTTGGGTCATCCATCTTGTTAATGACGACAATGAGTTTGTTGACACCTTGAGTTTTTGCCAACATGGCGTGCTCACGGGTTTGTCCTCCCTTTTCGAATCCAGTTTCGTATTCTCCCTTACGAGCAGAGATAACTAAAATTCCAACATCTGCTTGGGAAGCACCACCAATCATACTTGGTACGTAGGTTTTATGTCCAGGAGCATCCAAAATACTGTATCTCCGTTTTTCGGTCTCAAAATGTGCGCGTCCAACTTCGACAGTCTTTCCTTTGGATCTCTCCTCTTTTGTCAAATCGAGAGCCCACGACAAATACCATGTCTCACGACCCATTTCCTTGGCCTCTTTCTTGTTCTTTTCCATGGTTCTCTCATCAACCATTCCGGTAGCGTAAAGGATAGAACCACCAAGTGTCGATTTTCCAGCATCAACGTGTCCAATAAATATAATGTTAACATGCTCCTTGCCATAAATTTCCTTGAGGGTTTCGTCATCGACATCAGCTGCTTGCTCTTGCTCTACAGCATCTGCTGCACGAGCGGCTGCCTTGGCAGCGCCAGAAGTTCGGGAAGGTGATGAACGACCGGATGATGGTGTAGGAGAGGTCTTTCCACTGGCGGCTGCAGGAGTCTTTTCAACTTTCTCGATAGCTTTTGCTGCAGTAACCTTAGCACCGGCTTCTGCGGATGCGGATTGTGTTTCCTTCTTTGGCTCTTCCTTCTTCGCAGGAGCTGGAGTACCAATAGAAAGGACCTTTGCCTTTGGCTTTGGCGCATCGCCTCCAATGCTTAAAACCTTTGGTGCGTCCCCCCCAATGCTTAAAACTTTTGGTGCTCCATCCTTTACCGCTACAGGTTTGTTTAGGTCTGCTGAACCATCAGCTGGTCTTTTTGCGATAGTTGGTGTTTGCCGAGGAGGTTGTGATGATTGGGCTGCTGCTTGTGGTTGTTGAGCATAACCAGGATATTGTTGTCCTGTAAATGATTGTAGTCAGTATTTTGGACACTACAAATGTTCGCAAAGGGTAGAAAAGTTGGGGGATCTTCGAGCCCATTCCGTGTTTCTACACTTTTCATAATGGTACTGAAAATAACTGTGATTCCAAAATTCGCAGATAACTCACCATATCCTGCATTATATCCACCTTGTTGGTATCCTCCAGCATTGTAGCCTCCTTGTTGATATTGATTGTTGTACCCTTGTTGACCATATTGAGGATATCCACCATAACCTTGATTTTGATATTGAGCGAAATTCTGTTGTTGTCCATATTGATCATAAGCTCCTCCATATTGTTGATATTGTTGACCAGGTTGAAATGATTGTGCACCAGGCTGAAAGGAATTTGCGCCCGGTTGAAATGATCGAGCTTGTGGATTTGCATTCAAATTCATTCGTTGGGTTTGTTGTGAGAGGTTATTATCCTCTTGAGCGGCTGGATCATCTTCCCATGAGTTAAGGTCCGACATATTTACTGAAATTCGCGGATTTGTCTTAACGTGTAAGAAAAGATATGTGGGTTGTGAAAGAGGAATTGGAAAAGGCCAAAAAAACTAAAGGAATGGGGAAGAGAAGTGGCAGGTATTGGTGGGGCTATAATAGTAATGATGAATCGGTTATCGTTTATCGACTATCGTCTATCGTTTATGGAGGGGCTTTGGAATATTTTTTATTGTGTCGAGTACTCGTACTTGTGAGATAAAAGTTCCAATATTTCTGATATTTCGATAATAAAATATAGATGACGGTACATGACGGTATATGACGGTACACGACTGTGTATATGAATCTCCGTGACTCACAGATGCCCAGTAGACTCCATATATGCCTGATAAATGCCCAAAGCGATTCTACGGTTTCACTGGCATGTCATGTTTCTATTGTGTATTGGTTAATGACCAAAAAATAGTATCATGTGATATCTATACACTACATAACAAATTGTATATTTTATGATGAATTATAATTGTTCCTCTTTTTCTTGGGTGGCATCCATTTATCAAGTGCCGCTATTAATCTATTCAATCCCCGTTAATGACGTGTTGGCCAATCAATGTCAAGGCAAGTACAATGCTGTTTGAGCCTTACATCTTTGTTTGCTTCAAAACGTCAACTTGATATAAAAATAAATTCGACATCAACATCGACATTAACATTAACTTCAACAACAAACAGAAAATTCTACACAACTTCTCACAAAGATTATGTCTCTTATCTTGACTCTCTCCTACTTCTTATAGTATTTGATTTAAACCAGGACCCGAATACATTCAAAATGGACTTCTTCTTGGGCAAGGTAGAACAACTGCTCCCCCATGTTTCACAATCACGTGCTAACTATTGCTTCTTCCTTAGGTCACCCAGCATGCTGTAAACTATGCCATTAGGTACGCTCCATTCTATGAAGATCTCTGGAGCATTTTCTAACAGGGATATAGGTCTGGAATCGGTGTGACTGCTTCCTTTGCCATAAGACAAATTCCAAGAATCTTGAAGGTGGGATTTCTTTTTGGGACCGCGAACTTGTGAAAGGCATATAACTTACAAGATTCTAGACCGTGGATAATAATGCCGATTATCGAGAGCTTCATGAATTACAAGAGAGACTCAATAGTAAAATCAAAGTACGTCGAGTTTGATAACAATCAAATCAATGGTAGGAGTATCCTCAAACAATACTAACTTACTACCTTCCAGATCGTATCACCGGCTATTGATATGATAGAGCTTATGTGAGTTGCATTCGCTACTACAAAAATATCCTTACTTATAATCTGTAGTGCCGCGAGAGGAAACACCACTTTAGAGTCAGCTGTATCTTTAACCAAATCACTTCGATGGGATATTCAATCTCTTGGTATGAGGTTAGCAAAAGCTGCAAGTGCTGCAGAAGTTTCACTTCGGAATAAAACCAAAGCAAAAACACAAGCTGCTCATGAGACTGAGATTCGAGAGATCCTCAGAGATATTAAGAAGCTCTTAATGAAAATCGAGGACGCTGTTCCACTCATTAATTTAGCCATCACCACTTCCGGAGCGAACCTCTCAACAACACTTCCAGCTACTGTATCACCGTCCAGATTATTACAAGCAAGTAATCTTCTTACTGCTGCAGATCATCAATACTCCAGGAATCCAAATAGACCAGTACAAGTTGGAACAACACTTACTCTCTCTTTGTATATGTTATTTGCCGGACATGCTTATCGAGCTCATGATGAAGAGGGTATGAGAGAAACTACTTGGAAAGAAGTCATACATAAAGCCAAAGTCAGACTTTTACGTGTACCTCTCAAATCTACATATGGACCATCTGGACAATTACACCACTCTAAAGAGGCCCGAGATTATTTGACTGCGAAAGATTCTTCCTTGATTAGTGGCGAAGGTAAAGCAACGGAATACGCATATCAGCTTGAAATAATCGAGGATTTTGATGATGATCGGGTTCACACATTTGAGGAAGGAGAACCACAACCTGGACCATATGAAGATGTCAAATTGGCGGGTATTCGAGAATACTTACCAATTCATCAGATATCCAAGATATTCTATGCAGATACTGGCAAAATACTAAATATCGGTAATCAGGATGAAACAAATAGTCCTGTTTTACTATTGAAGCGAGATATTAATGCTATGCCACCAAGAAGAATGATGGAGGGGCAGGAGACACAAAATGAATGGTACGATGATGGTGAAGATATAACTCCAGAGGAATTTTCAGAACCGAACGAAGAAAGGCTAAAACGAGAGGATGAAGAGGATGATGAATTTGATATCGATGAGCAACTTCGACGAGAAAGTATGGCACCAGAATCACCATCAAAGGAAACTATAGAAATGCCACAAGAGACAAACACAACATGGCGACTTCCTCATGATCTCGACCCAGAATGGCTTGCCTTGGAAGTATATACTGAGGCTGAAGATTCAGAATCTGAAGAAGAGTTCGAGTCTGAATCAAATGGAGATTCTTCATATAGTCGACCAAATACTTCAGCTGAACAAATCTCTACTAACGATCTAACCACGAATCTATCAAATCTCAAAATATCCTCTCCAGCTCCAGCTACTCCCTCAAAAGAAACCCATCTTCTACCACGCCCTATATCTCCCATGCCTCTCTCATTTAACCGCTTCGAGTCTCCTACTCAACCACTGCAAATCGACATTAATCTTCGCTCTTCTCTTTCTCTTCTCGAGATGCTTATACGGCTTACTGCACTTCAACAATTTCAGCAATCCACTCATCTATCCGTTCCAGATGAATTCCTAACTTTCTTCCTTCATGAATCATCTACAACTGGTGCCGGTGGTAATGATTCGGAACGTAAACGAACAAGAGCGATGGCGAGAAAGAAAGTAGGATTTGATCCTTATGATGAGAGTCCCGTTAAAAGACATGGTGAGGCTTATCAACCTGGTTATGAAGAAGATGGAAATGATAGATATTCGAGAGGAGGAACACCTTGGGATGAAAATCTACCATTGACACCAAAATGGACAAGGGAAAGAAGTTCTACACCACAAAGATCAATGGCCTCACCTATTAGATCTGGATATGAAAGCGATGTAAGACAAAGTCGAGAAATGTTTTCTTCTCCACTACCTTCATCACCAATATCACCTTATAGATCGAATTCTCAACCGCAATTTCGTCAAAGACGGGAACACGGAAATGATTATAGAGGAAATGGAGTAGGTGGGAAAAGTAATGGAGGACCGTTGGAAAGAGTTTACAAGGAAAGGGGAGGTGGTACTTCAAGTGCGAGAGCAAGTCCTTTGGGGAAAGGAGGAAGTTTAGAGATGAGTCCGACTCCTGAAAGTTCTAAATTGGTAGCTAGTATTGAAGGGGTCGGAGAAGATGGGGAATAAGGAATGGGGTGAGATGAAGATGAAGGATAAGCAATGAGCTGAGGGGTGAATTTGTGGATGGAAAATGATGAATGTGCTCTGTATGAGATTGAGATTATTGCAGTGCATATATCAAATTCACAGAATGTATTTTAACGTAGCATCATGTAGAATAGCATAGCATAGCGAAGGAAGAAACGAAGATAACGAGAATATGAGGAAATGAAATAAATCAATACTATTGTATAGCGTATGTGCAATTCTCAACATGGCAATATCACTCTCTACATCATATCATATCATTTCCATCTCAATCCCAATCTCTACTACAGATCGTCTTTATCTCTCGATCTTCCGGAGATCAACTCAATGCGCTTATTGTATTGTATTCTCCCATCTGACTTGAGTTTTGAAGGTTATAAGGGGTTTGAGAGAGTAGTATTGTTGAGTGTGTTTTTTGATGTTGGGTGTGGTGTATATCTTGAAGGGGTTTGTATTGATGTTATGAATATTGGATATCTGGGTGAGTGAGGAGATTATGTTTGAAATTGAGAAAATATGTCAGTAAAGTTTGGATTTTGGATTTAGGATTTTGGATTTTAGAACTTGGAAGTTCTGAATAAATAAACCTCTCTGGATTAAAAATGTATGAATATTACTACGAATGAATGAGAAGATGAGATTATTATTTACTCTTACTCTTATTCTTAATTCTACGTTTAGATAAATTTATAATATTTTGAAATGAAGCAAAATAAAATAAAATAAAGAAAAGCAAAATACAAATCTATATTATGATAATACTATCTACCTACCTACCTACATACCTAGCACATCAAACCCCCACTACTAGTATCCCCTCTCCCCCCTCTCGCTCGCTCGCTCGCTTCCCCCGAAACGAAACGAAAATAACAAACAAATAGCCAACTCACAGTAGGTATCAACTTATCAAGCCGTGTACGCACATGACTCACAATCACAATCACAATCACGATCGAAAATAGGTATACGGTAACCCCGTATTTCTCCTCATTTTTTATACCGGTATCTCATACTCCATATTCCGTTCAATCTCCACCCCGGAATCTTGAAAAGTAAGTAAGTATTTAGTTAGTTAGTTAGTCAATAGATCAATCAATTATTTATTTATTTAGTAGATACCTCTTGTAGATAATCCAAAAGTTCTAGACCCCCTATTCTTATTCTATTATCCGTAAAGTAACTAACCATCCATAAACTAACCATCTACAAACTAACCCACCGCATCCATCCATCCATCCATCCATCCATCCATCCATCATCAGCACGTCCGTCCGTCCACCATCGGCGCGTCCGTCAAATTTCGTCCCTTTTCCTCGGTTCTTTTTCCTCGGTTCCTTTTTCTTTCCTTAAGGTTCCTCTCGAAACTTTAAATTCGTTTTACGTTTTGAGATTTAAGCTTGAGATCTAAGCTTTAATAAGCGAGCGAGCCAGCCAGCGAGGGAATATACTAGCTGGCTCGAGGCTGGAAATTTCATGACTTGTGCGGATTGATGAGGATTGGATTGGATTGGATTGGATTGGATTAAATGGAGTCGGAAAGTAACGTATGTTGGCTCCGCTCCGCCGGGTTGGGTTGGGTTGGTGGCGGGTGATAGGTGGGAATGGGGATGGATGGGAATGAGTGTGTATAAAAATGGAGATGATGATAGTGGGTGGATGAAAATGGAATGTGTGTAGATATTAATATGGTTGTGGTGAGTAGGGATGGGAATATATATAAATCTAGAAGTCTGGATCTAAAACTTAAAAAGAAATAGATATACGATATCGATATCGATATCTACTAGTACCTATACGTTTATAAATATGAACTAATTTAATAGATAAAAATGGAATTATAAATGAAAATGAAAATGTAAAGATTTATACTTATACTATATAAATACGTATTTCAATACTTTCTATACTCTTCTAGTATTTTATATTTTCTTTAATATAAAAAAAAAGTATAGATATTTTCTATCTATCTACTTATTTATCTAGAAGTAATATAATATAATATCTTAAGAAGAAATCCTCCTCCCCCCGGAAAATAAATAAATTATATATATATATAACGTGATTTATCATCGAGTAGATCATATCATCGAGTGGGCCACTTCAAAATACACCAAAATTAAGGCTTTTTGAATATTCGTATTTTAATAACTAATCATTATTTTAGAAAAAGAAAAAAAGATTAAATAATAATAAAAGATTAGTTTTCTAAAAATCTAGTTTTTATATAAATATTTTCATTTTATATTAAAAAAAGTGAAAATTGTTATGATTTTTGTTATAAAAAATATTCCTAATAATAATTCTTATATTAATTCGAATTTTTAATAAATAATAAGATTTTTGTAGTATTTATATAGTTAAATTTTATAGTTTTAATTTTTAAAAAATTCTATTAATAAATAAAGAAAATGCATAGTTACACACAAACGAATTTTGTATGTAAAAATAATGGCCCACTCGATGATATGGTTCACTCGATGATAAATCACGTTATACAAAGCAAACTATATCTTAATTAGATAAAACCATGAGGTATCTATCTATTCTGTCTCTTATATAAGATATTATCAGATGGCGAGTATACTATATTAATGAATATATTTAGGAATTTGGCTTTTTAACTTGTTAACTTGCTTGTTTTTTTGATTCTTTTTTTTGAGGGGGGGGGGGATCTGATTGTATTGTGTTAAGTTAAGTTAAGTTGTGTTATATAGTAGTATATGTATATATATATCTGAGATACCTGGGATAGATATTACTAGTAGATAGATATTAAATATAAAGAAGAAAGTATTAGTGTTTATAAAGTAGTAAGTATAGTACGTGAAATGACTTTCTTTTTAAGGAGTTGGGGTTGGGGATGACTGATAAATGAAGGAATGAAGGTAATGAAAGTATAGAGGG